AAATCATTAATCACTGATTTTAGTCTGCCTTATGACAGATTGTTGCTTCCTTTAAGATGCTGTAACTGGCATTTAAATTTACTGGGAAAAACCCACAAAACATGCACTGCAATGAGAACTGTCTCTCTCCAGCAAATCTGGAAGGACCAAAGTGTGTCACACTGAAGGAAAACAGAATCAGTCACAAACAATCTGCAACAAGAACTCTCACCATTATTTGTGCTGTTGTTAAAATTCTGGAATAATAACTAACAGTCCAAAAAATGTAAAGATCCTAAAAGGCACAACTGCTGCATGGCTCTGGTAATAAAGGCAGAGTTGTAAACAGCCACACAGGCTGAACATTTAAAATTCCTAGGCAAAACTAATGAAAACAACCACAGATTGACATTAGAAAATTTAAATCTTAGCAACAGAGAAAATCTGAGCTTCTCATCTTCAAAAACATGACACAGCTCCTTCATCTTTTCATCTGCTTGTACATACATGATTATTTTTTGGTGGTTTTCAACAAACAATTGCATGGATGTTGGTGGTTTATAGTTGGCAATTATTTCTTTTCTCTTCTTAGCATAATATATATTGCATTCATATTCATATTTAAATACCACTCAGAACCAACAGCAACCAAAAAAAATCCCCTGACTCCTTATGGATAACCTCCAAAAATCTTATTTTTCAGCTATACATAAAATATCACATAACTGCAGTTAAAACCTTCCTAAAAATGTAATTCTTTTCTCTTAGGAAAACCACCCACAGTCTAACAAATAAAATTGCAACCCACTTGGTAACTCTGCAGGAAGGTGAGAGTAATAGGCAGCAACCCTTTAGAACATGTTTTAGTTGTATATTTCCGTATAAACATGTAATGAAATTAAAAATTACAAGACTCATATTAAAACAAAAGGTCAGAAAACAAAGCTAGCAACAAATACAACTACCTTATGCTTTTAGCTAATTATGACACTAAAGCCAGAGGAAATAAACACATTTCAATTAGTAATTTCAACCCAGAGGAGAACAGAAATTCTAATGATTTTTTTTCCAGCACGTATTTCTTAGAAAATCTCAGTAATGGCAAGTTAATAAATGACATGACAGGCCCTGCCTGCTCCTCTCCCACCATGACAGCAAGCACTGGGAGCGGGGAACCCCAGCCAGCCCCAACCCTCTCACATCTCTGACAGCCACACAAACTTTTAATTAGTTTGCTAGTTCAGGGCTTCCTAGAATAAACGCAGTTCTGTCATTTCTAATGCATTCTCATGATCAGTTAATGGATTTTTGGATTTCTTTTTTTATTTGCCTCCAGCTCAGACAACCTTCTTGTCTTCTAATTTCTTCCAAATCAGTTCTTAGGTTATCCATATTTTCTCATCTGGAACACTAATGAGCTTGTCTAAAATTCACTTTTAATGCACCATTCTCATACCCTGACTCACTGAGGTGTTCTTTGTCAAACCCACGTCAAATTCCTGCATTGCTCTCCAAGGTATCAGTAGAGATCTGTGGTGTTTGTGAGGGTCCCCAGCATGAGGGGAGAGATGAGAATGTGACTCCATATCCTCAGAAGACTGATTTATTATACTATTACATCAATATTATACCAATATTATATAAATATTATATCAATATTATATCAATAAATGCTATTCTAAATTATACTAAAAGAAAGAGAAAGGAGACATCAGAAGGCTTCACAAGAATGAAGAATAAAAACCCATGACTGACTCAGAGAGCCTGACACAGCTGGCTGTGATTGGCCATTAAGAAAAAACAATTCACATGAAACCAATCAAACATTTACCTGTTGGTAAACAATGTCTAAGCCACATTCCAAAGCAGCAAACGCAGCAGCAGCAATCCAAATAATTATTGTTTTCATTCCTCTCAGCTTCCCAGGAGAAAATCCTGGGCAAAGAGGATTTTTCAGAAAATATAATGTTGACAGAGACCAGTGGATGTGCACGATCTGCAAATCTGTCAGTCATGTTCCTACACATACACTGAGTTCAGGGTCTAAGTTCACAGATACAAAAGACTAAATTAGCACTTTTGGAGCCCTAACACTTGTGTACAACAATCTCCAATTTTTCCAGCATTGTCCAAAATTATACACAGCATGGAGAACAAGAAGGTACTCTGATTATTAAAATGCAAATGCCAAAATGAAACATGAATTTTTCCTGTTGGTGCTGGACATCACAGGATCATAAAAATTTTGGTTGTGGGGGATTCAGGATTTAATCTGCTCCAAACTGCTGGTCAAAATTCCTCTACACCTCCCTGAAAGGAGGTTGTGCCAAGGCGGGGATTGGCCTCTTCTCCTAGAAAAACACCAAG